ACCCTTTCTATGTCTGTTTTTGAAACTTCTAATCTTATTTTACAGTACAGAGGAAAATTATCACTTCCTATTAAATTTTTTTCTAATACTTTCCACACACTATCTTTAGCTAAACATTTGGACATAATTGTTAAGTCAATAGCTGAATATTTACTTTTGGATATATCCAACCTAGTGTAACTCCCATCATTAATGCACATTAGATTTTTCATTTCTAAGAGTTCTTCCACTACTCTTCCATTATGATCTGTGTGCTCACTACCCCATAATGTATTGTGTGCATTAAAATCACCACACCACACCTCACTATGGCTACCTTCTCCCCCTATATTTGTCAGTGTTTCACTATTTAATCTTTTACAGGGATTATACAAATGTATTATTCAAATTTTTTGTGATCCTGACCAAACTTCTACTATTACTGATTCACATTCTTCCCTTACATTCACTTGCTTATAGGCTATATCAGTTTTAATGAATGTTACTCCACCACCATTTCCAACTTTCCTGTCCCTTCTAACTGCGGTGTATCTTTGTAAAACAAATTTCAAGTGTGGTTTGAGCCAAGTTTCTTGAATACAAATTACCTGAGGTGTAAATCTAGCATCTGAAATACATGTTTTAAATTCCTGACCATTTGCTATTAGATAATGTATTATCATTCTTCTGAATTTTCTATCACCTAATATTAGTTCTAATGTCATATTGCACCCTCTGATTGTATCTTTGTTTCCAGCATCTCTCTCTTTACTAGCCCTATATGCTCTACACTGTAATAAAATATGCTCAACTGTTTCAATTTCACCACAAGACCTACATAATCTAGAAGGATGTTTCCTGATTTTATGTAAATTTCCATTTAAAGATGAATGTCCTAATCTTAATCTTGCTATTATTACTTCTTCTCTTCTTTTAAAGTCACTTCCAGTCTCATTATTCTGAAATCCTACTTTCTTTTGGATTTTATACCGATGTCTACCTGTCTTCTCCGTATCCCATTTATGTTGCCAAGATTTAATAACAGCTTGCTTAATAATTGTCTTTGCTTCTGCTTTGCTGATTTTTACATCAATTTCTACATTATTTTTATTCAACGATCTCTTAGCACGTTTATCTGCCATCTCGTTTCCATTCCAACATGTGCTGGGATCCGTAAAAATGAAACAACCCTGTCCTGAGCATGAAGTCTATATAGCTGTTGCGTGATTTCTATAATAATATCTTGTCTGCAATTTGATTGTCCCAACTGAATACTTCTTAGAGCCGCCAGTGAATCTGAGCATAAAACTGCTTTCTTAGTCTGTGTGTCTTCCAACCAATGTAAAGCTAAAACAATAGCAATCAACTACAGATAAGTAGTCTGGTGTTCTTTTTGCAATAATTACTTCTTGTTGTGGTATGACTATTGCTATTCCTGTCTTATTAGATTCTGTATCTTTTGATACATCTGTAAAATTTGTACATTGTCAAAGTATAACCGTTCAATATAATGATTTACTTCATTAATTACACCACTGTTTGATTTTTCCATTTCTAGTAGATACAGGTCTATTGCCGGCATTTTATATAACCACGTGGGAGTGCAGATATAGGCACTGCATCACTATATTTCCTATTTACTAAATCCATTGTTTGTGCCATTTCTTCTGCTATCCAACCAATGGTTTTTATATTTGTTCTCTCATGTTCCCAGCATTCTTCAAAAATCGCTTTAGTTGGATGTTTACTATTGTGGCCTTTTAAAGACACCCAGTAAACCATTTTTAATTGCATACGTCTTTCTTCTAATGGCATTTCACCCATTTCTACCTGCAGTGCAGCTTTGGGTGATGTTCTAAAACATGCTGGCTTGCTGATCCGTATGCCATACATCCATAATCATATGCCGACCTAATAACTGCCAGATATATGTTTCTGAGAGAACTACGGCTAGCCCCCCATTCACTACCCACTAAACATCTCATAACATTCAGTGCTTTCTTACATTTAGTCAATAATTTTTCTACATGTATATTAAAGTTAAGTTTCTCATCTAACCACACTCCAAGAAACCTTACCACTGATACCTGCTCCAATTGTTTTCCATAAAGAGATAACTTAATGCGAACATTCCTCTTCTCTGTGAAACATATTAACTGTGTTTTCTCTACAGATATTCGAAAGCCCCACTTCTTTGCCCACTCTTCAACTTTATTTACTGCCTGCTGAACTTTCTTAACTGTATAAGTTATATTTCTACCTCTTTTCCAACGTGCACCATCATCTGCATATATTGACTTCCCCATTCCTTTTTCCACCTCATTAAATATATCATTGATCATTATATTAAATAGAAGGGGACTACATACACTTCCTTGTGGAGTTCCATTTTCAACTGCATAAACCCTAGAGTATGATGTTCCCACTCTAACCTGAATTGTCCGGTCAAATAAAAAGTCTAATACCTTTATTAGTAATACCATTTTTATATTTTTGTAGTCCTTCCTTCCAAAGCATATCATATGCTTTTTCCACATCTATGAAAACTCCTATTACAGCCTCTTTATTTATGAGCTTTTCTTATCTCTGATTCTAGACATAATATTGAGTACATTGTTGTTCTGTCCTTTCGAAACACACTCTGGTCAGTGTTGCCAGATTGGATGGATGATATCCAGGCCAAAAGCTCACAAAACTCGCCCAAAACTTTAAAGGTCACATATTGTCCTTCGTGTCGCTCTATAATTCTACACAGAACTAGAGGAAGGAAGCCTGTTAAATTCATATTGTAGAACATAATACAGAACTTTGCAGTCAAAACTAATCAAGTCTAGCAGTTTTCAATGATTTATCAATCTGGACCGTTTAAAAGATAAAAGACAGGATCGTATAAACCGACACATTTAGTGTCGGTTTTGATTAATTAATTCAAACGTGCTCTGATTTCGGAGTTGCACAATAACTCACGTTTTGAGAGTTGAGTCACTGTTCCACTCATATTTATGCATTGTGATTACTTGAATCAGTCAATACATTCAAAATCAACTGCTTTCTGTGCATCCCTTGCCTTCTCTCATTGGACGACTGAATGTTCTAAATACAATCTAGAATAAACTGACATTGAGACCCAATTCTGATCAATTTGAAACATTTCTAAAATATATCTATTTATTTTATATTCAGCCACAAAAATTATTCTAAGTTCAATAAACAACACAATACATACTATTTAAAAAGGTCATTACAAAACAAAGGTTCATAGTTCACACAAGAATATACACACAATATATAACAGTAAATAAAACAGTACAAACAACAAGCACATTGGTATTCATAAGTATTATTGTAAAACTTTCCTTTTGATAATACTATGGGTATCACTGCATCAACCTGGATATCCTGTGTGCCTCCCTTTGTGGGTCAGTCTGTTTTCACTGCTGCGCCACTACATAAAGCTTGGCAAATTCCATTAGACAGGCCTCATGGTCTGTATGAGATGATTATTGAAATCAGTTCACTCTACTTAGCAGAATATTCTGTATCACGTTTCTATTTGTATATACTGTATTATTGTATTGAAGCCCACTTTTTCACTTTATTGTTGCTGGGTTTGATGTTTCTTGTTAATTGAATTAAACACCAGAGCTTAACTTTTTCTTTTTTAGATTTATTTGTTTATTTGTTTGCTGAAAGGACATTCAGGAATGGCACTACGTCTACAAAACTTCATAAAAGCATGTTGTCTCTGTCCTGGGTTGCTTGCTAGAATCACACGCTGGACTTTTTTCACCCAGATAAGGACAGGTAAGGCACGTAACACAGATATATGGGATAATATTAGACTCAAAATGATTAATAGATGCACACACAATTATCCATGTACTGCATCAATTCTATACATGTATCTTACTAACCACAAACAAATGCCTTTCAATTTGAGTCTGTGAAATTCAGGATTAAATGATTATGCAGCGATGCTTACAAATACAGACATGTTTGCGAATAAAAATGTTTTTTTCTGCATTAATATATCATAAATTGCTCATGCAAAAAGGAATCCGTGCATATGTGGATCAGGTGACACACGTGCATTAATTGATGTCTAGTTCGAGTCGATCTTGTTCGGTTCATTTGGATTTTGAGACTTAATTTTTGTTCCCCTTTCAGGCTTGAACTGATGGTAAAACTAATGACATTATTTACTGTCTTTACATTTATTTTGAAAGATGACGCTCGCGATTATGGTAAGGGGCGTTAAATTTCCGACGAGTGCTTGCGGTGTTCGGCCAATCACAATGCACTGGGTCAGCTGGCCAATCAGAGCAGACTGCGCTTGTCGGAAGGAGGGACTTTGTAGAAAACGAAGCGTTTGAGAGAGGCGGGGCATAGAGGACCTACAATAATGTACAGTATTTTAAAAATAATGTGTTTTTTGAACATTTAAGTCAAGTCAAGTCAAGTCAACTTTATTTATATAGCGCTTTTAACAATACAGATTGTGACAAAGCAACTGAACACGTATTTAAGCACGTCAACATATTCTGTTACACCAAATACACAAAATAATGATCTTTAAAAAAACATCATATGACCCCTTTAAGACACAGAATAGCTTATATTAATTTTGCCAAACAAGAACTTTGTGACGGTACCTTGGTTTTTTTCTTTCTTTCTGTAATTCAACGGCACAATCATTTAATCCCGAATTCCACAGACTCAAATTGAAAGGCATTTGTTTGTGGTTAGTAAGATACATGTATAAAATGTATGCAGTACATGGATAATTGTGCCTGCGTCTATTAATAATTTTGAGTCTAACATCGTCCCATACAGATACACTGTAGAGCTCCTTTCATTGGCCTAATTTTCCATTAGTTTGATTGGTTTCACTGACCCAGAAGACTAATGAGTGACAGCACACTCTAGCCAATAGAAGCCCTGTAAACACATTTAAATGCCGCCTCCTCTCTCTCCTAAATGGCTAGACCATATGTCAGTCTATTTTCATTGGTCAGTTCCCAGAATAAGGCGGTACATTTTTTGTTGTTGTTTTAGTGGGAGAAGTGTGCCAGTCGACATCCACAACATAGAAGGCGATTTATAATATACAAAGTGATTGAGTTTTGGAGATCAACATTATTACTGCGCTGATTCGGCCGACTGATATTTGTCCAAGTGGGGAAGACGGGCGTTGTATTTCACTTTTTCCTGAATCCATCAGTAGCTATCCAAGGTATGTTTCGTGTTTACCACAACGACCAGTAAACCCAGTTAGCGACTGTGGGTAAGGCTAGTTTCATCCTGGAAACGAACTAGAATTTGTGGTGAATCAAAAGTTCAAACACCAGCCCGCGGTCACCCGCACTAACAGCAGGCCATATCATGTGAGCTCGCGGCCTAACGTCATCAGCAGTTGTTATGGGCGCAGCTATCTTACATATCATGTACTGTATGACGACAGCAGATTATTGTTTATTATGAAAAGCTGAGTTTGTGGAAACTGTGCATCAGGCAGTGCTGTGGAGGACGTTTTCGCATTGCAGCACTCCCTGTTGCAACGTGTCTTCGCAACACTATCATGAATCACAAGCCCGTTGGCTTCTCAACTGTTTCAGATACCGACAACAGTTACAAAAATACTGTACAGTGATGATATTATGCAATACCACACTACTGAATACTTGGGATATTCACATACCATCGTATTTACACCAGTAACGTTACTTAATGGAAGTACCATGGTGCATGTCCAAAAAATGAAATACACCTACAGTAATACATGTTTGCGAGGAATATAGCGCACGAAACCAGCTACAGTGGTCTTCCTCTCAGTAAAACCTGCTATTTAGAGCACAGAAAAAAGACACCTAAAGGTTAGAGTCATTTTTGGCCCACGTGATATGCTGCAATACCGTGGAATAAATTCACTGTCAAAAATAATCGTATGTATTTCAAAGCATTTGTGTGCCGTTTTAATTTACTCGCGCGTAATTTAAAAGTATTGTATGTAATTCTGTTTTTTGTCAGAGTTGAATTCCAAAATCCAAATTATATCCAAAAATAAATTCTGACAAAAAAACAGAATTGCATACAATACTTTTAAATTACGCACGAGTAAATTAAAACGACACACAAATGCTTTGAAATACATACGATTATTTTTGACAGTGATTTTATTCCATACAATACTGGATGAATTTTCTGTCATGGTTTTTGCACACTCAGCTATTCCGATGTCAAAGTAAGTGGGTATAAATGCAAAAAAAAAATGCCATATGACACATTTAATATTTATGTTCTAATGGGATGCGTGTACATGTCTGTATTATGTAATGTTCTTCTGCAGGGCACGAGAGGCTTTAGTGAATGGTTGGCTGAACATAAACAAAACAAACAGGCATTGCAGTCAGTCTAGTTCCACAGTAATAAAAGATATTGAAGCATTTTCCACGACCTTTGATAAAATGGCATTAAAAATCTCTAAAGTTGTGCAGACATTTTGATGGTTTCATTTAGTGTCTTTTCTATCCTTATAGCTAGTTATTATTAAAAATGTTTTATAATTATGCTTATTTTAGCTTTGTATTGTGACAGGCCTCTAAAAATAATTATTGACATATGGCAGAAGATATGTCAACAACATCTAGACTGAGGGCAAAGGAGAGAAGAGCCCATGGCGGGATGGCAGAAGGCCTAGAGAGTTTGAGGGAAAAATAGTTTGTTACCTCTAAAATATATGATTGACTGATTTAGAGAATAAATATGTTTTATTAATGATCATATGCATATCTGACAGGCAGAGTTTGTTTCTGTCCATGTTTGAATGATGAGAACAAATGAGGAGGAGTAAGCCTTAGACGTTTTTGTTTGTTATATTTTAATGTTGATGTATGTTTGGCCCTCAGATGTCTAGCCAGTATCAGCGAAGTGTTCCACTGGAGGTCAGGAGAGCAGAAGGGGAGAGAGTCCGCACCAAACATCCGGATAAAATCCCGGTCAGTCTCACGGCTGGAAAATACAATAACAAACAATAATACGTTTCTGTTACATTATTAAGACGGTTTCTTCAGCCAAAAATGAAAATTAAGTGATTATTTACTCACTCTCATGTCATCCCAAATCTGTAAGACTTTCATTCTTCTGCAGACCATAAAAGAAGATATTCTGAAGAATGTTGGTAACCAAACAGCTTTGGTGACTGTTTAATTCAATTCTATTGTATGGACAAACATTTCTCAAAATATCTTCTTTTATGTTTCACAAAAGAAAGTCGGTTTTGGAAGGATATGAGAGGGAGAAAATAATGACTGAATTAAAATTTTCTGAATTTCAGCTAATACTATATTGGGTATTTATTTGTTTGTTTGTCTCCTTAGATAATAGTGGAGAGAGCTGCAAGGTCACGAGCTCCTGAGCTTGACAAAAAGAAATACCTTGTTCCTTCAGACCTCACAGGTGACAGACAACTCTTATTTTATATATGCTCCCCAACAGAATAACATCTGTAAATTTACAGAGGAAATCAACTAAACTCATGATTGTCCATAAGCATTGCTGGGATATTTTATGCTGGGATATTAAGGCCTTTTCAATTCTTTGAGACTCTGTCTGACCTTAAACCTCCCTATTCCTGTCTTCATTTTGAGAAAGAACTGAAACTGTTTAGAAACCGTTCAGTTTAGATCTGACTGAGTTTCTCTCCACACCCTCCCTTTTTTTTCGTCCAGTCGGTCAGCTCTGCTTCCTGATCAGACAGCGGGTGTCTATGAGACCAGAAGAAGCGCTTTTCTTTTTTGTTAAAAATTCCCTCCCTCCATCCAGTTCCCCCCTGTCTGCAGTGTATGAGGTAACTCAAGCACCCTTCCTCTTCATTACTGCTGAGTAAAATGCTGAACTTTTTTTAGCATGGGGTGTTCAAAAACCACATTTGTTTTTAAATGCTAAATTCTTTTAAGTAATATGGTTATTAAATAAATGAATGTTTAAATATAAAAATAGAAAACTTAATATAATTAAAATTAAAAGTTTATATATATATATATATGTAATATTGTAATATTGTGAGATATTATTTCTGTTTCTAATATTGGTTTTCTGTTTTAATATACTTTAAAATATAATTTATTCCTGTGATGCAAAGCTGAATTTTCAGCATCATTACGCCAGTCTTCAGAAAAAAATTTAATATTGTGAGATATTATTTCAGTTTCTAATATTGGTTTTCTGTTTTAATATACTTTAAAATATAATTTATTGTTGTGATCAAAGCTGAATTTCCAGCAGTCTTCAGTGTCACATGATCCTTCAGAAATCACTCGAATATGCTGATTTATTATCAGTGTTGGAAACAGTTGTGCTGCTTCATGTTTTTTGATACTTTTTTCAGGATTAAACTTTTTTTTCAGGATATATTAAAAAAAAAACAGCATTTATTCAAAATGGAAATTTTGTGTTACAATATACACTACCGTTCAAAAGTTTGGAGTCAGTCAATTTTTTTCTTTCTTTTTTTGAAAGTAATGAATAGTTTTATTCAGCAAGGATGTGTTAAATTGATAAAAAGTGATAGTAAAGACTCATATTGTTAGAAAATAATTTAATTTTAAATAAATGCTGTTCTTTTGAACTTTTTATTCATAAAAGAATCCAGAAAAAATTATCAGTTTCCAAAAAAATACATGAAGCAGCACAACTGTTTCCAACACTGATAATAAATCAGCATATTCGAGTGATTTCTGAAGGATCATGTGACACTAAAGACTGCTGAAAACTCAGCTTTGCCATCACAGATTTTTTTTAATAAAATCTGTACAAATATATTACAATAGAAAACTGTAAAATAATATTTCACAATATTACAGTTTTTACTGTATTTTTGATCAAATAAATGCGGCATTGGTGAGCTGTATATATATATATATATATATATATATATATATATATATATATATATATATATATATATATATATATATATATATATAATAATACCATTCAAAAGTTTGGGTCTGTAAGTCTCTTATGCTCACAAAGGCTGCATTTATGTGATCAAAAATACAATGTAAAATTTAGTATTGTGAAATATTATTACAATTTAAAATAGCAGTTTTCTGTTTGAATATATGTGACCCTGGACCACTTGATTTATCATCTGAAAACTGAATAAATAAGCTTTCCATTGATGTATGGTTTGTTAGGATAGGACAATATTTGGCCGAGATACAACTATTTGAAAATCTGGAATCTGAGGGTGCAAAAAATAAAAATATTGAGAAAATCGCCTTTAAAGTTGTCCAAATGAAGTTCTTAGCAATGCATATTACTAATCAAAAATTAAGTTTTTATATATTTATGGTAGGACATTTACAAAATATCTTCATGGAACATGATCTTTACTTAATATCCTAATGATTTTTGGCATAAAAGAAAAATCGATAATTTTGACCCATACAATGTATTGTTAGCTATTTCTACAAATATACCCCAGCGACTTAAGACTGGTTTTGTGCTCCAGGGTCACATATGTTAAAGGGGTCCTATTATGCTCTTTTACAAAGTCTTGATTTTGTTTTGGGGGTGTACTAGAACAGGCTCTCATACTAGGTTGTTCGAAAAACACATTATTTTTCACATATTTTACATTATTACAACACGTCTGGCATGAACGGCTCGAATAGTTCCTGTATCAAGTGAAGGCCCACCTTCAGAAATACGAAATGTGCTGTGATTGGTTAGCTGGGCCAGTGTGTGTTGTGATTGGCAGCACTCGGTGCCTGGTCGGGAAATGCCATGCCCCTTATCATAGCCGCCGAGAAGGGTATAACTGCAGCCTGGAGATCTCCAAATGGGGGCGGGAACTCCAAAACTGGGTGGGAGCTCCAAAATAGGGCGTGGCTTCTTCCCATTGATAGACAGGCACATGACGCGCATGCGCACTTTTGTTAACAGTTAATAAGATTATGCGATATGAGATTGTTCCGTAACTCCCCAATAATGGCACCTTTTTAGTTACACCCAGTGTCACTACCCCCTCCTACCCTGCGAATTTCGAGCCCCGGGACGCCCCCGCTGCTTAGAACAAAGCGATAGAGTAAAATCATTCCCCTGCGCTACACTGGGATGGCTCACGGGAGAGCTTGTGGGTGATTCCTGTTTATATCATTAAGTAGATGTTCAAACTCCAGTCCGAACACCACTGGCCACGAGCTTTGGGCTCTGCTCTCACAGAGAATATTTACTTATATAGCATATTTTATTTTAAATGAACTAGAAGCAATGTTCATTTATAAAGTTTTATTTTGAAATGTAAGTCAATAACAATTGGCTGGAGCCAGAGCCAATGGTGAAAGTCTTTGCGCGAGGAGACCCCGCCCCATTTTGGAGGTTCTGCCCACTTTTGGAGTTCACACCCCATTTTGGAGATCTCCGGTCTGCAGTTATATCTACAAGTAGCCGCCTGCTAGCTTCAGTGTAAATATTGCATCAAAATCAAATTAATTTGAGCGCGATTTAAACCCGGATGATTGTAACTACTCTAAGTTCGTCTTCCTTGGGAAAGCTAGCGTGTCTCCGACATATAGTGATAACACTCGTTGCCTTCTCTAGTGCAGCTCAACCAGGTCTCGTCCCATTCGTCGATATTTGTGATATCACAAATCCCGGAAAATATGCGTTGTAGTCCAAACGAGTCGTTCGCTGTAGTTTTTGAAAAGTGATTTCTGTTAAATAAAATATCTCCTTTTGAAGTGGACTTTGAGCTTTGTAACTTCGCAGATCTTTTTTATGCTCAAACAGCAACATTACAGACTAACTAAAGTTGAAAAAGTAAAAAAGCATAATAGGACCCCTTTAAAATGTATATTATCCTACGCGTCTTCAGTGTCACATGATCCTTCAAATTATTCTAATAGATTTGCTGCTGGAGACATTTCTTATTATTCTCAATGTTGAAAATGGTTGTGCTGCTTAATATTTTTGTGGAAACCGTGATACATCTTCCAGTATTCTTTCATGTTCAAAACAGCAGTTCATTTGAATTCTTCTTCTTTTTTTTTTGGTAACACTATAAAGGTCTTTACTAGTCCCTTTTGATCAATTGAATGTGTCTTTGCTGAGTTCTTTCAAGAAAAATCTTAGAGTCTGACCACAAACGGTATATAAACCGTTTAAACTTTTTAATTATAAAGTGAAATGAAAAATAGTACTACTGAATCATTTGATCTAAATGTATCACCTCTCTCTCTGTTTTTAGGAACACCATGAGGAAGACCTGTTCCTGTACATGACATACAGTAATGAGAGTGTTTACGGTGCCTGAGACGGAGGATGAAAGGACTGGAGAGAAGAGATGGAGAAAGATGACGCATTATTATCCCATGTTCAATACATTGTACCTAAAGAGGGCATTGTTCAATAATGGGGACTAAAGGGTGCTGTTTGTATTTATCAGTATTCGGGGGAAACTACAATGTGATGCATTAAACAGATTATTAAAGCATTAGGACACTAAAGAGAAAATGGAAGGTCAAAAACAAAAATAGAGATACATTTTTAAAAAAAGTAGTAAAGTAAGCAAGTTTTCATTTCATCTTTCTCTCCCAGGAGCGCATCATTTGTATTTAATGCAAATAGGTTTTTGTTCTTGTTTTTCTTTCTTTTTTTTGTAAAGTATTTTCAATAACTTTGTGCATATAATAAAAATATTTTAAATGTTTAAGCTTGTGTATAAGTTTGTAGATAATATTTACACCATTTGTTTTAGCACAAATGAGGTTCAGTTAATATTCATACTATTTATTTATATTAAAATTCATACCATTATTTATACTATTCAGCATTTTTTATAATAATATTTAAACATTTAACCCTTAACCACAGAGACACTAGTGACTCCTATAAACAGTGTTTAATATATTTGAATTTCTTTTCCTTTAGGATAAGACATGATTAGTGGTTTAATTCGTTCTGACGGTATGAATAAGAGAGAAGTGAAGGATATATCGTGGCGACGAGCCGGACTGTAATGAGGAAGTTGCGGGAAAACAACTGATCATGTGTGATGCTCAGAATTATCCTGATGTGAACAAGCATCAGGTCAGCATATTTACAAGTGGCAAGCTTTTCGGTTACCGTGTCATTTTTTCTCTAAACAGCTGTTTAGACAATAGTAAATTCAAAAGAGTTATATACTTCTAAAGAGTTTGCACCTACTGGGACCTCTGACAAGTTAGCCCGAAAAAACGAAACTCAAGGGAATTATACAGACAGAAAAAACAGCAATGGAGAGCAAGAAAGAGGTAGAAGTGGAGTTGGAGGAGATTACAACGGTTGAGGAGGATAAGGAGAAAGAAGATCCGAAGAAGGAGACGAAAGGTGAAATGTTTAATAAAATCATTCATTTGTAAGCTTAAACAAGCTATTATTTCTTTTAAAACAGGACTCCTCCCTTCACTTTGGGGAGAGGTTGCAGTATGTGAGCAGAAAATTTCAGTATTCAGTCATTATATACATGTCAATACGGTTTTCTTTTCATATTTAATTCTTCTTCTTTTCAACTGCACTTTCTCCGAATGACTTTGCAGCAGAGAAGGTAGAAGAAGGGAATATTTACTCCACTCTCACCAGTCCATCTGAACATGAATATGGTGTGCCCTCTTCAACTCGCTCTTATACAGTCAATAACGGTAACACAAACTCATTTTCTTATAGTAATGCACATTTCAGGCCAATAAATATTTAATAAAGTGAATACAAATACTCATTTAATGATACAAATGCCAGGAGTTTGTTTTGTGCACAAGCTTAAATTATGAAAAAGACTTGGGAGTATTCAAGTACTTTATCGAAATAATGCTACATTTCTAAAAATGAAGGTTTCAAAATGATGTTTTCGCAGTGATGCCATAGGAGAACTATTTTGGGTTGCCTAAAGCACCTATTAATAAACAGATCTTAAAAGAACCACTTTTTTCTTAGTGTAAAGAATATTTTAATAATCTAAAGACACTTTTTCCACTATAAAGAACCTTTTGTGCATTGGAAAGGATTTTACTACTACTACTACTATACATTTGAAAGGTTTTTCATGGAACCATCGATGCCAATGAAGAACCTTTATTTTTAAGAGTGTATATATAATTTTTAAATATATATTTTTTTACATGCATTCATGTGCATATTCCTTGTGATGAAAAAATGTGTGATATAGGATCCAGCTGTATGGTCTAAAACAGGACAAGTGAAAATGGACAGAAAGAGGAACAAAAACAGATGGAGAGAAAAAAAACTGATGCAGTGGTCAGTGAGTTAAAGCAAAATATCAAACAAAATTAACATTTCTGATCACGAGATAAAAAGGATAAAAGAAGTTAAAGATGCATGTAAATGGTCTAAACTGTAAAAATTCTGGTTAAATAAAAAAAAATGTAAAAAAATATATATAGCTGTGCTTACGATAATGATAATGCTACATGCACACAAGTGGCATTAAGGTGACATTATAATAGATTGTAAAAATGTAAACTAACAATATATTAGCACATGACAGAAAGAGGAACAAAAACAGATGGAGAGAAAAAAAACTGATGCAGTGGTCAGTGAGTTAAAGCAAAATATCAAACAAAATTAACATTTCTGATCACGAGATAAAAAGGATAAAAGAAGTTAAAGATGCATGTAAATGGTCTAAACTGTAAAAATTCTGGTTAAATTTAAAAAAATGTAAAAAAAAATATATATATAGCTGTGCTTACGATAATGATAATGCTACATGCACACAAGTGGCATTTAGGTGACATTATAATAGATTGTAAAAATGTAAACTAACAATATATTAGCACATAAAAATGTCAAATGAAACACAAATACATGTTATAAATCATGTTAGTTAGTTAGTTAGAATCATGCAGGGACTTCCAGGAATCCTTTTCCCCCAGTGGAATCAAGAATCTTTGCATTTGCTCGCAAAAGATACTTTGCATTCCCTCTTTCCTTCACAAAACGTTTGTGCTAAGTTCCTCTTAAAATTGTTGTGTTTGCTCAAAAAACTTTTGAAGGAACTCAACGCTTTTGAGAGCGAGGGCAAAGGGCAATGCAAAACCTTTGCAAGCGAATGCAATCTATTTAGGGAGAATGCAAATGCATGTAAATGGTCTAAACTGTAAAAATTCTGGTTAAATTTAAAAAAATGTAAAAAAAAATATATATATAGCTGTGCTTACGATAATGATAATGCTACATGCACACAAGTGGCATTTAGGTGACATTATAATAGATTGTAAAAATGTAAACTAACAATATATTAGCACATAAAAATGTCAAATGAAACACAAATACATGTTATAAATCATGTTAGTTAGTTAGTTAGAATCATGCAGGGACTTCCAGGAATCCTTTTCCCCCAGTGGAATCAAGAATCTTTGCATTTGCTCGCAAAAGATACTTTGCATTCCCTCTTTCCTTCACAAAACGTTTGTGCTAAGTTCCTCTTAAAATTGTTGTGTTTGCTCGAAAAACTTTTGAAGGAACTCAACGCTTTTGAGAGCGAGGGCAAAGGGCAATGCAAAACCTTTGCAAGTGAATGCAATCTATTTAGGGAGAATGCAAAAGCATCATACATTTTAAATAGGCTGCCATTCATAGGCTGTCCACATACAAATTTATAGGCTGCCATTTTTCCTCCCATCTCATGTTAATTGCCAATGCCAGTCAACTGTGTCAATTAGGTTTTTACAGCGGCATATTCTTTACTTTTAAAGTGACTAACATTGTGAGGTGTTATGGTTGTGCTTAGTTATAGTTAATATTAAACAAGTTACTCTTTTATAACAGCGTTTCTATCCATTAAATTATAACCCAAGTGGGTTCTCGATCGTTTGAAACATGTTACCAAGGCCCGCTTAAATTATAGATTGCTCTGTCATTTGAACAGAGTCTTTTGTATGACCTTAGCTCACATAGTAACACGCATATCTGGGACACAGCTGCATATTTTGTTCTCTCGAGGACAGCGGGTATCTTATTTTGTCCAGAGAGCACTTGAAGGTTTCGGAAGGGCACGCGAGGACACAGAGCCGGTATTGTGTTACGGAGCGTCGTCGTCAAAGCCCCCTGAAGTGTGTTAGTGCGCACATAAAACGCCTGCAGATCATTCCCTGGCCATCGTCGAACTGAGCCGGTTTTGCATTCGCAGAAACATGTACGTAAAACTCTGCAATTTCGGCAAGTACACAGAAGGCAAGTCTGAACCGAAACCGCTGCAGCCGGATTCAGGTGATGAATGTTGCGACTGCACATCTCTTGACTTCCCTTATTTGACGGTCCATGTAACGACAAATGTATCATATTTTTCTCCAGATACATCGCTAGATATTCGCCGGAAACTCCGTGTTTACCGCATCGTTTCGCTGGTTCTTTTTGTCATCTGCGTCCTGTTGCTGATCGTGGTCCCTGTACTGTTTATGAAGTGTAAGTACGACCGTCTTTTACATGTACAGCTTGGAACCTATAACATGTATTCATTTAGCCCTTTAATTGTCTTTTTTTTTTGGGGGGGGTCAAAATACGCTATAAATACCACATCGTTTTTGATATTGGAAACAGGCTTTGTCAACAATATCTAAACAAGCGAAATATAAGCTAACGTTTTTAATAATAATAATAAATGAAAAAAAATATAGGCTACTATTAAAGGCATGGTCTATATGGTCTTGCCCGGGTTTGACTACCGAAGAACCACTTTCAGTATGTTATGCAACAGTATTTTTTATGTATTCATTTGTAAATTAGGATTACATTTGAATGAAAAATATTTTACATTTAAAATAACATTAACAATACATTTTCTTCATACACATACTGCTGCAAGTTCATAAACTTGTTCATAGACTAATAGCAGAATAATACAGAAGCTGCTATATAATACATTATGAACGGCCAAAAGTAAATGAAATGGAAAAGAGTCACATTTTTTTGCCAAACTTGTAATTTTTTTTAACACTTCTCTCTCTTGTTTTATTTATTTAATTGTTATTCTATAATTATCGAATTAAAAACACCTAATCATAATATACTTCGAGACCAGATAAAAAGACATAAAAACAGTCTTTAGACCAACTGTACTTGAGCATAATCAAGAATCAATACATTTTTAATGGTTTTCAAGGAAGGGTCGCAAGTGGGTGCAGTTTTTTGAACAATAGGAGGGTTCAAATTAGTACAAAAAACAATATAGCGTTTACCTTCAGGAAAATGTGATCAAAAAAGAAAATTACACAAAATGAGAGTAAGATTCTTGTAAGAACTTGTTTCCAGATCGCCATGTTACTTTATTTTGGATCCACAGTACTAAAATAACTGCAGTAACTATGGTATTTTGGTGGAAATGGTGATTGCCATGGTAACTGGTTCATAGAGGATACATTGTTACATTATATTCTGAACAGTGACTGGGACGCCGCAATGTCAGGAGGTAGAGCAGACTACCAGGTCTCTATCGGAACAGAAATGCAGCTTGGAGAGATGCCAAGAGCTTTACCAACTGCCTCGTGAGTTTGTGAACAGACATTCAGTTATCTAAACTAGGTTTTCTGTATGTTTGACTTTTTTTCTCTATAAAACGTATTTTTACTTCACTTCAGTGTTTTCTTGCTTCCCCACCTAAATGTGTGTGCAGAGCGTCTGTG